GTAAAGCACACATGATTAAAATTAACAGAGACAAGTGAGAGAGACTGCCCAGTGGGCAGAGTGCACATTACAACTTCTCTTGCTCACTCTATCTATGGCTCAAACTTTCGAGGATTTTTTCGTAGGTTCTACTTGACTTTAGTTCCTCATAAATTTTTTCCGTAACTTTCCTCTTTTTTACAATAAAGTTTACCACTAATGGAAAAGAGATAGTTTGAACATTTCATAATTGAGCCACGTTGGTCTCTTTAACTGCTCCAATACATAGGATCAGCTATTTAATTGTAAACTAAAAGTTGTGGGCAGAGACATGGGCAGACACACACAAAGAGACCGAACAAGGTACATAAAAAACTACAGAATAGGTGAAGCACCCATGCCGAAGTCGACCAGTACAAGGACCAAAATGGATATCAATACGCGATACATGCATATAATAAAGCCCATTGTCAGTCACATAGATGTGACCAAAGTCCATGTCTCATGGATATATTAAATGCAATAAATTAACCCCATTCACACATACATCAATCTGTCAATTTGCATTCCAAAACAAACAATTATTAGAAATTTCAAAAATTCAAAAGTTGTCAAACCAAACCAAGCCTTATGACTCAATCATTTGGAGTCGGCTATATGAGTCCATCTTCGCTATTCATTTCAGTCATGCGTTATACGCTCATTTAAGTTAAATATTTTCATATTTTTTCTTATTAGTTTGTTCAATATTAGTTTAGATCTACCTCTACTCCTACTATCCCTACTCCTAGAATCATTAAGATAAATTCTATCACTTTTCCTACCTAGTGCCTCTATCGGCCTCTATTGAATATGACCAACTCATCTTAATCTATTCTCTCTCAACTTGTCCTCAATTGAAGCTACATCTACCATTTCTCTAATATGGTCATTTCGTATTGAATAATATGTATTCTTTGTTTTTAAATTATGAGAAGTTGTCAGTGTCTGATAATTTAAAAAACAAAATATACATATTATTCAATCACCTTATAATTCCAGTAATTAAATGGTTGAAATCTAATTTAGAAAACAGCGAGACAATCCCAACAAAAATTTATTAATAATGAAAACAATGTGCTCAATATGAACATCCCATAATTGTGCAAGATTACAAAATAGCACCACTCGAGTACTACTTCAATAGGTATTCAAATCTAGGACATCTCAGAATACGGTAGTTACACTTCATGAAGTTCAAGTACACTTACAACGAGGAGTTAAATTCTCTCCAATAGCAAAAACGAAATGGCCGTCTTTGTCGTCCGGCCTCCAAGGAGGAGAACCATTGCTGGGCACCCCCTTGTAATATATAGAAGAATAAGCATAATTGGGAACTGTCCCATTTGCAAACTCCTGCCCACAATATATTGTTGGAAGGACCTGCATGAAGAACAAAAATCATTGATGTGGTGGCAATACAAAAGCTGTACTTGCAAAGTTGCATCTAATAAAATGGTACAAAGTTTATTCAGACCTGCATGAAGAACAAAAATCAATGATGTGGTGGCAGTACAAAAGCTGTACTTGCAAAGTTGCATCTAATAAAATGGTACAAAGTTTATTCAGACTTGCAGCCATTAGTATAAGCTTAATGAGAGCATGTGCTTCAGCCAAACGCACGATGCATACTGTAAGACTTACACACCATTTCGAGCCAGAATTTTTCAATAAATTAGATCCACAATTTAAGTGTAAATAAAATTACTTCTAAAAAGAAAGGCCCCTTTATTTTGAATCAAAATTTTGACTAAACCCAGATTTACTCTGTAATTTTCCGACCATAACATACAAAAATCGATCACCAAAAAATAGGTGAACAATTCATGATAAAAAGATACTAAATATAGACAAAAAAGAAGAGCAATAATGCAAGATCCACATTCAGCATACTTCAAATATATACAAAAAAGAAAACTCCATCTAATCTATATGCATAATACATTTCGATACAGAAAGAGATGATTCCAACTTGAGCAGAGAAATGAAGCGAATTTAAAAGACCTTCACCTAATTTCAGTGGTGATTTTACAAATTCAAGCAAAGAACAACATACAGCAATATGAAAGAATTTCGGCACACAGAGATATACATACACAAAAATACAGAAGCATAAGAATGCTTATATAAATCAAACCTTTGTAGGAGGAACAGGTTGAGGCATGTCCCATGTTAAACGAGGTCGTTTCTTTGGCCGTTTATCCATGTTTCTGTGAGGAAACTCCATGATTCTCTGTGTCTCCATTTATAATTTTCCACATCCGTTAACACCACTGAGCAGGGAATTTGCCGGAAAATTGTAGATTCGGGAAGAAAATTCAATATAAGAATTCGAAATGAAACCCTGTGCTTAGGCAGATCTGTGGAGGAGAGAGAGAGATCAGCTGAGAGACGAGGTGAAAATAACCATGGTTAATTTGACCAAAGGTCCTCTTTCCAACTATGGTTATGACTGAGGGGCCCACTGTGCGGTGGTGGTTTTAAACAGGTGAGTGGGATAAAGAGGCCTTGCTAGGCCCATGGTTTGGACATAGTGATGTCTTGGGCCTTGGGCAAGCAAAGAGGTATTAACATTACACAAACTTGGCGGCCTTAAGATTAATCGAGTAGAACAATTTGTCCTTCTTTTAGGGGTTTATTATTATTAGTATTAGGAAAATTTCAGCAATATTTTTTTTAGTTTATTATATCTTCAAAACACTTTTAATTATCAAAAATATCACTGACACCTCTTTTAATTTATATTTAAATGTCATTGATACCTCTACTATTAAACCATAATTTATAACAAAAATAAATTATCTAAAATACCAAAATTGCCCATACATAAACCTCAAATATATTTTTTATATAAAATTCGATTAAAATTTGGGCCGATTATAGTTTTTTTTTTTACATATTAAAATTCAAGTTGATTAAAATTCTTTTTCCTATATATTAAAATTTGAGTCGATTAAAATTCGATTCAAGCTGAATAAATTTTTTTTACATATGACAAGTTGGGATAATTTGAACTCTACTTGAGCTATTAGTCCGATTAAAATTCGTTTCGAATTGATTAAAATTTATATTTTTTATTTTCGATTTAAGTTGCTTAAAATTTATTTTTTTCATATTAAAATTTGAATTAATTAAAATTTAGATTTTTTTATATATCAAAATTCGAGCCAATTAAAATTTAATGTGAATTGATTAAAATTTGATTTGAATCTCAAATAGAATTTAATTGGCTTAAATTTTAATACAAAAAAATATATAATTTTTAATCGATTCATGTTTGAATACATAAAATATAAATTTTAATTTGCTTGAATAGACTTTTAATCGACCCAAATTTTAATACATAAAAAATTTAGAAAATAGAAGGGATCTCATTGAAAATATATCTATCTAAAAGGGGTGTGGATGAAATTTTTCCTAAAATATATCATAGACAATTTAGTAAAATTGTATTATAATTAACACTTTTAATCTAATAAAGGGTGTCAGTAAATATTCAAAAAAAATAGAGGAAGTGTCATTAAATATATGATAAACTATAAAAGTGTGACTGAAATTTTTTATTATTATTATTATTATTGCAATAATGACCCATACCGAATCTAGGCATAGGGGTAATGGAATAATTACATGAAAAGATTTAGGGCGTGTTTGTTTCATATTTTTTGTTTTTATTTTTATTTTTTGTAAAAAATAAAAATAAAAACGAGTTTGGGTTTATATTTCTGTTTTATATTAGATAAAATATTTTGAAAACAAAGCCAAAAAATATGTTCCAAGAAATAAGTGAAACAATGACACGTGCGCGGAGCTTGGTTGGGAGTTAATGACATCTAGGTTTTAAACTTTGTTAGCAATAAAAAGGGTTTTTTTTTTTTTGGGCACCCATTTAAACCCATTTCATTTTTACTCCTCTCTCCATCGCCTTTCGCTCTCCATCTTAGCTCTGTCTCTCCGCCCTAGGGCTAGTTTGTTTTGAGAATAAGAATAGTATAAAGAGGTGGGATTAGGAAAATAATATATGAGATCTATTTTATATCTTGTTTGTTTAATATTTTATAGTCAGTATTATTTTTCAGGTCGTAATATCGCCTCGGTTTGAACAATGTCCTTAATGTATAAATGAATATCACCTACCTGGAGGTATTATCTTTTCGGTATAAATGAAATGACGGTATAAGAGAATAAAATGACACAAATGTCCTCCTATATGAAGAGTTCACATAAAAAAAATTTATTTTGAATTTTTTTCTCTTATATTATGTTTAAGCGTACGATGTCATCGATTTTTTTTGAATTTTTTAAAAAAAAATTATTTTGACTTTTTTTTATATTATATTTAAGCGTACGGTGTTAACGGTTTTTAAAAAAAAAAATTTTTAAAATTATTTTAATTTTTTTCCTTTTACTATGTTTAATTGTACGGTGTCACCGATTGTTTTTTAAATTTCTTTAAATATTATTTTAAATTTTTTATTTATATTATGTTTAAGCGTATGATATTAACAATTTTTTTTTAAATTTTTTTTTATTATGTTTAAGCGTACGGTATTACTGGATTTTTTAAAAATTATTTTAAATTTTTTATTTATATTATGTTTAAGCGTGTAGTGTCATCGGTTTTTTTTTTAATTTTTTTTCTTTTGAAAATATTTTGAATGGAATGGATGATGTTAAGGGTAAAATGATATATTTGTTATATAAGATGTGATAGAATATATGGGCCTATTTGGTTTGTGTTTCAAAAAATAGTATCCGAAACAATTTTTTGAAAAGAATTTAAAAAAGTGGTTTTGATATTTTTTGAGATAAAAAACTTGTTTGATTAGATGATTTCAAAAATAATTTACAATACAGAAAATAGTAAAACAATTATATATATATACGTATATATATATATATATATATATATATATATATATCTGAACATCCAAAATTGTTCTCCTTGTTTCCAAAATTTTCAAAAAAAACTCTAAAACAAGCTACACTTGTTTTCTGTTTCTTTAACTCAAATCTCATTTTTTTTTCCAAAATTTAGAGAACAAAAATGTTAAACAAACAGGTTTTTGGTATTTTTAAAATTTTGAGAATAAAAAACTGTTTCTGGATCACAAACCAAAGATGACCTATATTTGTAGACCCCATCATAGTACCTATTGAATAAATAAACAAGGGAAGGATTGGAATAATTTTTATTATCGGTACTAATATCTATTGGCATTGGAATATATTTTCAATACCAGGCTTATATAATACTTGAAACAAACATGTCCTTATTCTCTCAATCACCTATGGTGGTGTTTGGTTTATCATGAGAGGATTGAATTGGAATCCGAACTCAATCTAATTCAATGTAAAGTGGTCTGAATTAGAGGATTATAAAGATGGGATTCAAATTATATCCCATCTTTGGATAGGATTCATTTGTTATGTGGGCCTCATTAACATGTGAAGATAAAATATGCTAAAATGATCATTTTACCTTTGTGTAAACAATGTGATCAAATCCTATATCATGTTTGGAATATAATGAAAAAAAAAGTCCAATCTATTAATATTTTTTTTTTTACAACAAAAAATATGAATCAATAAATTACTCATTTTTACAAAATATACCAATAAATATTTTGTTTAGTTATTTAATTAAATTTGTACAATACATTTTTAATCACAAAAATCATATGCATCATAAAAAAAAAAAAAATTCCAACACAAAAATAATACACATATCGATACCATTCAAGTCTAAGTCGTTATTTGTTTATTTATAGATAAGACGGAGTAGTGTATTTAAAAATAAAAATTAATTATTTTTTTTTAATAAATAGCAAAATTAATCCGAACCATATTAAATTTTTTCAATGACCCAAATGCAATTTATTTTCCATGAATTTTAATATTATTGCGTGAATTAATACCACAAATCAGGTCAATTTAAAATAGGAAAAATTTCAACGACACTCCCTCTAGTTTACCATATCTTCAAGGACACCCCCTCTAGTTTCTGAATTTTTAATGACACATCTTCTAGTTTAATTTAAACATCACTAACACCCCTACCATTAAACTATTATTTCTAACAATATAAATTTATCTAAAATATCAAAAATGCCCCTACATAATCTCAAGTAATTTTTTTACATAAAATTTTATTAAAATTCGAGCTGTTAAAATTTTTAAAAAAATCATAAATAACAATTTTAGTAAATAATTTGTTAGTAAATACTAATTTTTTATTTACTAATTAGTAAATTTTTTTTAAAAAAAATCTAGCCTATTAAAAAAATTTTTACATATTAAAATTTGATCCAATTTGAACTCTATCCGAGTTGTTAGGGTCGATTAAAATTCTCTTTCGAGTCGATTATAATTTATATTTTTTTCTTATTAAAATTTGTGTCAATTAAAATTAGATTTATTAAAATTTAAGTCAATTAAAATTCATATATTTTTATATATTAAAATTTAGGCTGATTAAAATTCAATGCGAATTAATTAAAATTTGATTTGAGTCGATTAAAAATAATTTTTAATTGGCTCAAACAAAATTTTAATTATCCCAAATTCTAATACGTAAAAAAAAATATAATTTTTAATTGGCACAAATTTTAATATATGTAAAAAAATAAATTTTAATTAGATTGAATCGAATTTTAATCGATTTGAATTTAATTATGTAAAAAAAATTAGAAAACAGAGGGAGTCTCATTGAAAATATACTTATTTAGAGGGGGTTTCATTGAAGATATGTTTATCTACAGGGGGTGTGGATGAAGTTTGTCCTCAAATATATCATAAGTAATTTAGTAAAATTGTATTTTACTTTAATATTTTTAATCTGACAGGAGGTGTCATTGAAGATTCAAAAATTAGAAGGGGTGTCCTTGAAGATATGGTAAACTACAGGGGGTGTGGTTAAAATTTTTCCTTTAAAATATGTTGCTTTAATTAAAATGTTAATTTTTTTTAGAGTTCATCTCTAAGGAAACAAAATTTTAGATGTAATGAGACCCAATACTACTGAACAAATGTGATTTTTTAATGACACTCAAACCCTTTCAATTAAACTTGACTTAGACCGAATATTTTTGCACGTTTACTCTCAAAATTTATGTAATTAAATACCGAATGTCAGAAATTAAGTAATATCTATTTAGAAGAAAAATTATAATGTAGTATATAATATAGAGTATAATCAATTTTTTAATAATTTTTTTCTATTTTGTTTAAGTACACAAGATCAAAAAATTGGAAAATTTTTTAATATATTTTAAACATATGCCAAATTTTATTTTTTTGTTGTTTCAGTAATAAAAAAAAAAAAATCAGCAAGAGAGATAGAGAATGAATCCCACATGCTAGGTGGGTTTCATTTATCCAGTTCAGAGAGGATTAGTTCATGAATTTTTACGGTCGAGTAATTCAATCCCCAACGTTTATCCCATTGCATTTTTTGGATCCAAAGCTGGGATATATAGGCCCTCTGTATTTGAATTCAATCTAACATGTCCTATCTACCTTTATCCTTCCAAACAAACACCATCTATGTCCATTCAATGAAGACCGATCGTCGGCGATCGACTCTTTCCCTCTTCTTCGGTGATCTAGGTTTGTCTCCGACGATCGTTTCTTCTCCTCCTCTTTGGCAATATTCTACTGAGATCTAGCTTCTGGGTTCTTCTTTAGTGATCATCTCTTTTCCAACAATCTGGATTCTGAAATTCTCCATCTTGTCTCTTCTAAGGTGATCTGGTGTGTTGAGTTTGTGTTCTATGCGTGAATGCATGGGTCTGTGTGTGTTTTGTGTGCAGATCCATCACAGTCCCCTCTCTTGTTTTTCTTTCCCTAAAAAAGTTCCCTTTTGTCCCCGTCTATGTGTGGGTTGAGTGTGTCTTTGTGTGTGTGTGTATGTGTTGAGCTAGTAGAGTCTGTGTGAGTGTACATTATGGGTGAATTTGTGGATATGTTGAATATATATTGTGGGTGATTTGTGGATATACATTATGGGTGATTTATGGATATGTTGAATATATTGTGGGTGATTTGTGGATATGTTGAATATATTATGGGTGAATTCATGAATATGTTGAAATTCAAGAGTGAATATGTTAAAATTTATGAGTGTATAACTTGACGTGGTTATCAAATATGTTTTTAATTTTTATTCTCATAATTTGATAAATACAAATGACTCTCAAATTCGTTTTTTGTTTTCGATGTTTACCACAAAACAAAACAAAATATCTTTGTTTTTAATTTTTTTTTAAAACGCAAAAACAAAAATATTATCAAACAACCACTTAATATTCTATTTTATAAGAAATGGAGAAATAATCTGTTCATATTTGTCACACATTTAGGCATTACAATCAAAGAGGTCTTGTGGCTATTTCATCTAAAGGTGCAACTCGGGCAGGTTAGGCTGCTTGAGAGGTCAACTCTAGTCTAACTCTAGGTATATAATTTTTAACCTTAACTCTCACCCTAACCCTAACTCTAACCTTTACCTCAACGCGAGGTACTCAATCCGAGTACTACCCCCAGTGAATTCAGGTGGGCTCGGGTTACTAAATTTGGGTTATTTTGGAGTTAAAAATCAGGTTAAGCTCGGGTAATTTAATTCAGGTTGATAAAAGAGAGAGGAGTGATGAGTGAGAGAAGAATCTGAGAGTGATGGAGGCGCATGGGTGAACACTTGAAGTGAAATGAAAGTCTGAACTCTGAAAAGAGAAGATAAATACTAACCCTAGTTAAATATATTTATATATTTATGTATATTCGGGTTCAACCCAATTTTAATATTCGGGTCGAATCCCGAATACCTGAGACCTCAACCCAAGGTTTGCCCAAATTCAAATCGGGTTGAAATTTTTTTGTCCAAGCCTAACTCAATTATTAAAAATTCTAACATAATCTCTATTTTTTTCAACTTGGGTTTGGGCTGACCCACCCAAATTACACCCCTAACTCCATCAATCTCATTGATCAATTTCTTGTCATGGTATACTTGGGCCCAACGTATACCCATATCAACCCAATTACTTTAGGTCATCTTTATTCTTTATTCAAAAATAAACTCAAATTTAAATTTGAGTAAAAAAAATCTTAAAAACTCTCTTCAACGTGTGACTCAAACTTATATTAAATAAGAAAAACCCTTTACTCAACCCAAATTGAAGAAATACCAAACCCTTTCGGTGATGTCTTTGCTGATGCAATCCGGAACAATTTGGTCATAAGCATAAAATTTTGACACAATCTGGCTTTTGTGATGGACCTTGAACACTGAAAAAAATTGGGTGAAAATTTTTTTAAAAAAAAAAAAAGAGTTTTTGGGACAATGTATGAATTTTTTAGAAAGATTTGAGTATCAAATTAAAATTTTTCATTGGAGAGATTCATATCAAATTAAACATTTTACTCATTTTTTTTTATCCAATTTTGAATTTAAGTAACTAGAGGTCCACAAAGTATGAAATTTGTTTCATTTTGGTACTCAATATTTTAATTTCTTCATTTTATCCCTCAAATATTGCATATATTTTTATGTGGTCCCTCAAATGGACAACGTGCATATTACTAACGATTTTATATTATAAACTTGTGATATAATACCTTAATATTGATAAAAAAAAATAATTTAGATAATTATTGACCTAAGTTTTGATCAAAGAGTTACCCAAATTACATAGTTTTGGTCATAAACTATTCAAATTTTGATCAAGAGATACTCATATTACACATTTTTTGTCAATAATTATCCAAATTATTTTTTGTTCATATTTAGGTACTACGTGACAAGTTTATAATAAAAAATTGTTAGAAATTTAATATTTTTTGCTTGAGGGACCACATAGAAACATATTTAATATTTCATAAACTAAAATAATTCAATTGAAATATTATAGACCAAAATAAGATAAACTTTATACTTTAACGACCTTCGATACAATTAACCCAAAAATATAATAACTAACAAACAGTGGGAAGGAAAATTTTCAATCTCTAAAGAGTCAACTTATCTAGAAAAAAATGGATTCTACTAGTTTGCATTTTTTATTTAAATAAAAAAACAAAAACAGGGATTTTACTTAGTTAAGTGCCCAAAATTTTGAGTACTACTAAAGACTTAATTGTAATTTTCCTATTCTCATCTGTGATTTGAATTATGGGTGAATGATATTCTAAAGAATAAAATTAAAATATTATATTTTTAGTAAGACAAAAAATATAGTAATTTATAAATTTAATTGTGGGTGAAATATACGAAATTCAATTTTTAAGGAATAAGTTTAAAATTTAAGATTCTTTTAAAATATAAAGTGTTTTTTATCATTTTAATTCATAATATTTCAATTACATTATTTTAATTCATGAAGTATTGAATATATTTCTATGTGGTTATTCAAATATATAACGTCTAAATTGCCAACGATTTTTTTTATAAACCTGTCACGTAATACTTAAATATAAGGAAAAAATAATTTATATAATTCTTGATCAAATTTTTTCCTAAATTTTTGTTAAAGAGATACTTAAATTACACAGTTTTGATCTTAAACTATCAAAAATTTGGTCAAGAGCTATCAATATTACATATTTTTTGTCAAGAGTCACCCAAATTTTGGTTAAGAGCTACCCAAAATATTTTTTTACCTATATTTAAAAATTACGTGATAAGTTTATAATAAAAATCATTAACAGTTTAAATGTTGTTTACTCAAAAGATTATATAGAAATATATTCAATATTTTAAGGACCAAAATAATATAATTGAAATACTACGAATCAACATGAGACAAAATCTAGAGTTTAGGACTTCTAATGTAATTAACTCTAAAAATTAAATACTGAAAATTTTATTAGCAAACATTGAAACGGCATCGTCTAGATTCTGTATCGGGTTTTTTTTCATTATCGCAATCGCAGTGTTAAAAATATCTACGGTTGAGTCAGTGAAAGAGAAGAGCCCACGTGGAAACGCAGACCCGTGGATAATCCTAATCATCGATAAGCGGCATAAGCCACCAATATGCATGACCTTTCTCAAAGGGTCGACGGACCGGGTCTACCCAACCTTGACCCAGAAATATTATGGCTCTTAGCCTGTCCATCGTGAACATTTTGGCAAGTGAATACATGGTGAGAATATATTAGTGGCCATTTGTGGATTCGAAGGTCGTTGTCCCTTCTTATATACATATTCCTCCACACAAAAAAAAATCTTGATAGTTACGGGTTTTCCTTTATTGGAAATCACATGGATTTTAAACTTTCATTAATCTATTTGAATTTCTCCATTTCATGGTATATATTTATATAATAAAATAGATAAATTATTTATCATGATGAGATGTTATGTTATTATGAGTCTATAACTCTTTTTGTAAATATATATATATTAGTAATAATTATTTAAAATTATGTCGTATCTTACGATATATGATACAATACAATAAATTATTTTTAAAAAATAATATATCTTTCGATACGTGATTTGACAATTATACTAAGGAAAGGTGTCTTTTGTCTTTTGAGTTGGCTCTCTACTTAATGTATAGTATATTGCGCAACCCGCATGTTGGTTTTCATGGAAAATCTTTAATCTGAAATGATTCAATGTGGGGAATATATTCATGTTTATGGGATATTTAGGTAAGTTTTATTTTATATATTGACCTGGCATGATACTTATTAATAAAAAAAGGGCAATTTCAATTTACTCCTTATGGTTAGGGCCAATTGCATTTTGCTCCCTTTGCATTGAAAAATATACAGATGGTCCTCATGTAATTTGTGGACAAAAGTGCAGAGTTACTACTTCCAACCTCCTTCACCGGGAGTGTAAAGTCACACACCTATATGGAGACTTGGTACGTGGAAAAACATATTTAGAAGACAAAAATGCCTTTGCAGTTCTTGGAAAATATAAAATGCTCGTCTCCTCTTCTACTACTTTTTTCTCTGGGTTTTCACCTCCTCTCTCTGCTTCTATTTTGATTTTTCTTCTTCCACTGGTGTGAGTTTGACAAACAACTACCACCGAAACTAGCACACCCAGATTCACGCACCTCCTCTTTGTGGGTTTAACACACACTCGCCCTGAGAGGCACATACAGTTATACACTCTTTCTTTTTTTTTCCCCTTTTCTTCTGTTATCCTTCTTCTACACTGCACTACTCGCTATCTCTCAGACACATGCAGACTGGTGTGGATTTCACACCCACCCGTGACCCACCCACTCCCACATGTCGTTCTTCGGAGGTTCACAAGTTCTGGCAACTTTTGCAAGACTTCTTCAATGGGAAGGAGATTTGCAAGAGAATCACTCCAGATCAAGCCATTGCCCGAGGTGATGCCGTTCAAGTTGCTATATTGTGCGGCGAGCATGAGATTGTTCAGGACCTATTGGTCTTGGAAGTTACTCCTTTGTCTCTTGGATTGGAGCTGTTGGGGGTGTGGTGACTGTTCCAATTCCAGGAAACTCCACAATACTGAGCAAGAAAGAGTAAGTGTTCTTTACGTACTCGGACAGCCAGCCTGGTGTTTTCACTTCCTGTGGGCAGCACTATATGCAGACCTTGAAATTGAGTGGGTCATGAACCGGAACAAAAATCTTTGCTTTTACCCAGTTATTATTTGTTAAAGGAACTGGATCCACATTGTTGTCTTTCTTCCTCCATCTTCTTTTTTGCATTCTCTTTCTTCCTGAGTATAATTCAGTTACCATACTCCCGGTACATAAATATATGCGTATAAAGATAAAAAATAGTGTGTGTGTTGAAGAAGAAGAATATTTTGCTTGTAAGGATTATATCTATCGGCATTGAAGACATTTTTGCGAAATCTTTTACAGAGTCAGTCGTGTACTTTGGTCCACAAACTACATGAGAATTGTGTGGCTGTTTTTGAAGTTGATGCGGTGAAGTGCAACTGAGACTAACTTGGGTTACAGTTTAGTTGTATGAGCCAAAACCGAACCAGGTTTTATTCTTATTCTTCTTGTAATTTTTTTTTTATCTTTGTTCATTTTTTTTTTCTTTTGTAGCCATACAAATCCAGGTTCGCTGAAAACTTTTGTCTATGAAGGTGTTAGAGACACATCTCTTCCAAATTCATCTGTGACAGATATCAGTGAACTTCTCCGTGCTGATATTGTCTTAACAACATATGATGTGCTTAAAGAGGAGTTGCCGCATGACTCTGACAGGCATGAAGGAGATCGTCGCTTTATGAGATTTCAGAAGAGGTACCCTTCAGGTTTTAAATTTCTTGATTCTAGTCAGGAGAACCAACCTTTGTCTTTGCTTGGATGGGCTTCATGTTCTAATGGAACATTACTTCGTATGAGATTTTTATTGCAGTTTGTTGTCGCTTACATTAAGATTGAGAATTCTGGTCAGGTCCAAGAAAAATATCTGTCTATTCTGTTATTTGTTCTCCAATAACCAATTTAGAAGATTTCTTTCTTTTCCTCAATATTTTGTCATATTTAGAGTTTTCTAAAGTGACCATTTACGATTGTTGACTAGTGTTTGTGTTGCAGATACCCCGTTATTCCAACTCCTCTCACCAGAATAATTTGGTGGAGGATTTGTTTGGATGAGGCTCAAATGGTGGAGAGTAATCCAGCTGCTGCGACAGAAATGGCACTACGACTTCATGGGAAGCATCGTTGGTGTATTACTGGGACTCCCATACAACGAAAGCTTGAAGACTTGTATGGGCTCTTGAGATTCCTTAAAGCAAGTCCTTTTGATGTTATTAGGTGGTGGACTGAAGTTATACGAGATCCATATGAGGTATAAAGTTCTTCAAATCATTTTTTCTGGGAACTTTTTCTTTTGTTCTTTTCAATTTTGCTATGTGAGTCATTAAGAGTTTGAATGTTAAAGCTGAGAAGCAAAGAAAGATTGTTTTATTAGCAAAACTAACTGGAACATCTTTTGTATGTTGAGCTTTTTTAGTTAAATTGATCCATTCCAGAAAAAAAAACAAGATAAATTGATTCATTCACTTTCTCTTCATATCCATATGGTTGCTATGCCACAAGGTGAGGGTTCAATCATGAACACATGCTATCTCTTTTGATTAAAATTGACTACTTTGTCCATTTTAGGGGACCATGAGAGAATGTGACGGGACGAAAAAGATACTATCCTCTGGTGGATATGTTTGTTTTATTTGTTTATTTTTGGAATGTACCGTAGGGTCTATTTGGAACAAACTTTGGGTATCTTATGATGCATTTTACAAGCATAGATCACATATATTTTTCATTTTGGGAGAAAACTAAGTCAATTTGTCTCCCTTATATTGCTTAGAGATTCTTATGTTTATGTTCTTTTGCCATTTTTTAATATTGGACTTACATTTGCAGAGGGGAGATGCAGGAGCTAAGCTATTCACACATAATTTCTTTAAGCAGTTAATGTGGCTTTCCTCGAAACTACATGTCACAGAAGAGTTAGAGCTTCCTCCTCAGGAGGAGTGCATCTCTAGGCTTTCTCTATCACCAGTTGAAGAGCACTTTTACCAGAGGCAGCATGAAACTTGTTTGGACTATGCCCGGGAAGTTATTGAGGGTTTCAAAGATGATATTCACAAAATACAAGTCACAGTTTTATACAGGTTCTTCTATTTTATTTCTGAATTTATGGAAACCAGTATATGAAAGCTAAAATAAGGAAAGCAATCTTTAGGTCTAATGATGGTTTCATACTCTTTTCCAGGGTCTAAGTTATCTGATGTTCCATCTGATCCTTTCATCACCCACGTGGAGGCTGAAAAGCTGTTCAACTCACTTCTAAAGCTTCGTCAAGCCTGCTGCCATCCTCAAGTGGGAAGTTCTGGACTACGTTCTTTGCAACAGTCTCCCATGACCATGGAGGAGATATTATCAGTACGTTTAGTCTTTGGGTCAAATTACTCAGATTGCCTTCAGAAGCCATCGCCAATTGCTTATTTTGTTAAGATGGTCTTATTCTGCAGGTACTTGTTGATAAGACCAAGGTAGAAGGGGAGGAAGATCTCAGGAAATTAGTTGTTTCATTAAATGGGCTTGCAGGGATAGCTATAATTAAGCAGGATTTTCCTCAAGCTGTAGCATTGGACAAAGAAGCGCTGGCTTTAACTGAAGAACACTCTGAGGATTTCCGTTTGGACCCCTTGTTAAACATTCACATTCATCATAATCTTGCCGATATTATCCCTTACAACAGTTTGAGTTTAAGGGGCAATCCCCTGAAACTGCTACTGATAAAGTGTCAAAGGTGAATGGGGTTGCAAAATGTGATCAACATGCTGCCAAAAGGGAAAAGTGAGCAGGGAAGACTCCTCAGATTTGATGAATGATTTTGAGAATTCGGCTGAGCGATGATTTTGAATAACGGTAACGGTTGTCGTAACGGTAACGATAACGTCGTAATAGACATAGGTCATATCGGGCGTTACGTAACAGTAACGGAAACCGAATACGTGAATTTTTTTTTTTAACTCACACCTCACCTAAAAATATATTTTTGCATGTTTCTACTCTAAAATCAAGTCAATATGAATATTTAATAATCACTAAAATCATATAGACATGTTTGTATTGATGGTATCATTATATAATCTTTCAAAAATGATCAAAGTTGCTAATATTTATACTATGGGCTGTGTAAAATAAAAATTTGAAGAAAGTAAGAATATTGTTAGCCCATTTACTCAAAAGACATCTAGCCCATTAATAATGGGCTTGAATAAAATAGTAATGTAGCAACTTCCATGGTTTGACAGAGAAAAAAAAACACAGAGAACCCATACCCAGTTGCTTCATCTTCTCCGCCCAGGCGCCCAGGTTTCCTATTCCTTCGCTCTGTTTACTTCATTTCAAATTTCCACCTCTTTCTCTTTTCCTCTATCTCCTCAAAACTCTTGCAATTCCATTCTCCCATGGCAACTCCATTAACAGTGGAAGTCCCAATATCAGTCTGGTGACAGCCCAGTAAATCATAGTATTCATCGACTCCGACGAAGCCTAGATGGACCTTGAAACCTTCAAGGACATTGCCATTGTCATCGGTGAAGTGAGACTCCTCCGGTAGGTGTTCATTCTGATTATTGTGGTAAAACGGATGTGAAAAGTCCGACAGATTTGTACTTTGCTATTCACATGGCTTCTTGGTTTGCAACAGTCCGTATCAATCCGACTTGACGCTTATCGGCCGTTACAAGCCGTTATGCTCCGTTACAGGTCGTTACGACACCGTAACGGCCGTTACAGATGTGAAATCCATTCTTTTCGAAAATCGGGGGCGCAACAGAATCGGCGGCCTTCGTTACCGTTATGTAACGGCCGATTTTCAAAACCATGGACTGAGCTTTCTTCTGAAAAACTGGAAGGTAACTTAAATGGTGATGACAGTTGTGATGCTAAGCCCCACAAGCAGATCCGATCTGCTAGTGATCAATGTTTAAGAACAGCATGTGAGACTCTAAAACAGAAATTCTTATCTGTTTTTAATTCGAAGTTGTTCCTGGCTCAGCAAGAGTGTTCAGAAAGTTACATGGCCAGGTATATTTCCTCCTAGCTGTCTCAGAGTATGTGAAAAGCTATCATTGGAGTTCTTTGTTACATTATATCGGAGGCACGACATCACAAGCTACAATTACAAAAGCATTCCAAACGTGCCTTACTTTAAGAAATATATTTGATATCACATTCACAACTATGTTGATGATAGTTCCCACATATTTTGCATTTATAGTACATCATATGATTTGATATGCATGTTGTAGAAAATAAATGTTTGATTTTTTTCTTTTGTAAGATAATACTAATCAAAGCTATGCAAAGCACTGCATTGAAGCCTATACTCTACCTACACTACAGTATTGCACTATGGTTTCTGCCAAGACCTCGGGTTAGCAGTGGTAGTTAATAAACTACATTTTTCTTATCATTGAATGGTCCTTTATCCATATATACCGCATTGTTGTATTGGATTCTATGATGCTATTGTTTGTTTCTTATTTTTTCGAAGGTTTGTAGTGCATTTAGTGATAGAAAAAATCAACATACAACTTGGTGGTTGGAAACACTACATCATATCGAGCAAAATAAGGACTCCTCAAGTGAGTTGATCAGAAAGATAGGAGAGGCTGTCTATGGGACTCTAAACACATCTAGAACATCGAGGATTGCATCCTGGTTAGTCATAGTTTTGGGTTTTCACTTCACATTGCTTGTGTAGCGTACTGTTCAAGTTTAATTGTAACTAGCAAAGGCCCAACTGACTGAATTCTGGAGGAGATTTGCAAATCCTGGGGGGAAATATCGCATTTTTTGCCTTGTTTAGAAGCTTTTGCTAATGATATACGTATACAGTTGTTTTGTCATCTTTTTTAGCACTTTGTATATTTTCAAATTCTCCTGATTAATCTCTCTTTGTCAACATCTTAAACATGCCCCTCTTGTTTAATTGATGAGAAAGGAGAAGAGATTTTGATAATGTTGAGTGTATTAACTATTAAGATTGAGTAGTTATAATAGAAAAAAGTGTATTTTTGGATAGCTAAAATATAAAATCTTGTTGGAGATATACTTAGCAACAGAATTAAGGCGCTTAAGGGGGTGGGGATGACCTTCTTGGAGAGAAAATATTCAATACCACCGTGCTGACATGGTACAATCAACCAATCTTGTTGTTTAAATTAACCAACTAGCATCCTTAACATTTAATATGCTACATCAACTGTAAATTCAAGCTCCTTTTAACGATGTTACCTAAAACGGGATTTATCATACAACGTTTAACGCTAGTTTGTTGAAATTACGAAATCCTAAAAGACCTACACTTCTTTCTCTTCTCTTTTTACTTTGCTTCAACTTCAAGTCTTGCAAACTCTCTGCAGCCCTAAACCAGCAGACTTCTATTTCTATTCTTCATTAACTTCTTTATGATACCCATAAAACTGGAACACACTTAGCATTAAAGTTGTGGTATCCAGAAAGAGTATTACAAGTGTTTTTCTTTACCATCAGTTTCGTTCTTGCAGGTCTAACCCATAACTATTTGGTCACTTGTTATTAAGGACAAAGATGATGCATTTTGACCACAAAATATCCAATCAAATATCTCAACTTGAGAATGTCACTCCAGGTATTATAGTTAAATCTTTTTTTTCTTAAAATTCTGCTATATTAGGATTTAGGAGGATAGAATGTTTTTCGCCAGCAATTAAATTTTTATGCACATTAGGCGATACACATTCATGTAGATGAACATGGAATTATAATTAGTGTAAGAATTAAAAAAAAAAAACTTTTTAAACATTTGTAGCCTATATTTTTTTGACATTTTATTATGATCTTGAAAAATCTGAGCAGTTATTAATCTTGATGATGATGATCATAATGATGACAAATATAAAGAGAATGGCCAAATTAAAGTTGGAATGATAGTATCCAAGAGAAAATATTCATTACAATAGTGATGCCACATGGAAATGTGATGTGGTATTATCAACTAATAATATTAAAACAAATAAATAAATGAACTCCAAAAAAATTAATAACAAATCTATTATGTAAATAAATAACTCCTCACTCTTCTTTCAAGTAAGTTCAAGTAAGGTTCACCTTACCCATTTAGGAGTTTATTATTAGTTGGTGATACCATGTCATCAATGATGACACGGAATCATCGTTGCATTCAATATTTACTCCTAATGAAGATGAAGCATATAGACTCTATTGTTAGCATGCCATACGAAAAAGGTTTTGATGTTCAAAAAAGAAATTTTCGTTATAGTGCGAATTTCTTGAGTTCAAATTCTAGAGTTTATAATGATAGTAATCTTTTTGAATTGAAAAAAAATCAAGAGAATGGTGAAAAGAACAGATTGCAATGCTTTTATTCAGTATACAGTTTCACATGGTATTTGGGAGGCTAGTCATTTTAATGATATCCACAACCATGAGTTTGTTGCCCATGAAGACCAACAATTTCTAAAAATAAATAGAAATATAAGTGTTGCGAATGCTAGTGTCATCAATTTCATGGTTGATGCGGGTATTAGAGGAACAAAGACATACTCATATCTGGCAAAAGAAGTTGGCGATGCTGAGAATGTTAGGTTTATCCAACGAGACTGCCACAATTATATAAATAGAAGAAAGTTGAATTTGATTGAAAAGGGGATGTTCAAAGTGTACTGGCTCATTTCAAATTTTGTATCATCGATGACCCTCTATTTTATAATTCAGAAGGATTGGATGAAGATCGTCAACTAGCACATGTCTTTTGAGGAGATGGAAGATCTAAATTAGATTATGATTATTTTGGTGATGTTCTAATATTTGATACCACATATTGGACAAAAAAGTATAATATGATATTTGCTCCTTTTGTTGGCATCAACCATCACAGGAAGAACATATTTTTTGCTTGTGCATTTCTCTTGGATGAGACAACGGATAGGTTTATTTGGTTATTTGAGACATTTTTAGAGGCAATGGGTAACAAAGCACCATAGATTATATTCATTGATTAGTGTCAAGCTATGACCAATGCTATCAGAAATGTATATCCTAATACATGTCACCGACGTTTTTTATGGCACATATCTAAAAATGCAACCCAAAGATTGGGGGTTTGTACTCAAATTCTCAGCTTAGGGGTTTGTTCTTAAGGTTCTTAAATGACTGAAATAGAGGCAGAATTTGAATCAACTTGGGGTGAAAAGATTAGAAGACTTGATCTTGTAGACAATAAATGGCTAAAGATGATCTATGGGTTAAGAGAGAAATGATGCCCAACATTTAGCATGGACGTTTTCATTATTCGCATAAAATCCACTCAAAGAAGTGAAAGCATGAATAATGTTCTTCATCAAATGTCTTGTAAAATAATGAACTTGACAGAATTTTTGCATCACTATTAAGAACAATGCGAAAAAAATGCGATTCTGAAAGACAAGAAGATTATCATTGTAAACATGGTATGCCATATATCCAGGTTAAGGGTAGCCAGTTATTGATCAAAACAGCTACTGTCCACATTATTAATATTTATAATTTGTTTGCCCCTGAGTTTGTTTCAAGTCTGACCGTATATTTGCAACAACTTTCGTGTGATGGCCCCGTCTACACTTATCGGGATGAAGGCCAAAAAAGAATTCACATTGTGGAGTTTAACTCCTGTTGTTGCAGTGTCATGTTTTCTTGTAAGATGTTTGAGTCGAAGGGATGGTTATGCCGACATGTACTTAGAGCACTCAATCTATGGAGT